CTTGGTTCCCAATTTGGCGATTTTCGCGCCAGAAACCGTCACGCTGTCGTACGTGGGAGCCATGCACACCTGGGGGCTGAATTTGAAACCCTTGAGTCCTATATGGACAAGGAACATAATCTCAAAATTTCAGCTTTTTAGCCTTCCTCATTCTCGAGTTAGTGACTTTCCCGCCGAAACTTTCACTCTTTCGTACGCGGGACGCAGACTTGCTTGGGGGTTGATACAACGGTCCTGGGGTGGCGCTTGACCGGGGAACCTCCTAGCGAAGTTTTGACGCCGGAGCCTGCTTGGTTGCCGAGTTGAAATACCCAGGACAGACGAAAATACACACAAACAGGGTCGTTGCAGTATGCGGTTTTGCGATTTGCATATAAGCAGAAACGCATAACAATGTGAACATGTTCTTCCCACAGATATTTTTCGCTGATTAGCAGTAGTTTGTTGGGTAGATGCTTTTATCTGAACAAATAGAAATGCGCAACAAATTCGGATGCACTGTTATCATTTTTTCACCACGCTGTTCAGATATCATGTAGAATTTGTGAGCGCCAAAATGCGGAGGGATGCGAAAGCTTCTTTCACATGCATCTGCTGAAACATGATCTTGGACCATGCACACAACCACTCTGACCGCTTTGTTTGTGGAACTGCAAAATTATCAGCGTCAACGTACATATGCCCGCAGTTAAGATGTAAGGGGAAGTGAAAGTCATCTGAATTTATCCTGGGGCATGTGTAGAAAATTTCGGCACTTTAGCTGCATTAGCTGCGAAGTTACGAAATTATAAGGGATCAAGTCACACGTGCCTGTACGTGAGGTGTAGGAGGAACTCATTTTGCATTTATAGACCCAAATTTGAACAGCAAACCTACTGATAAAGCTACGCCTTTCCACTCCTGAATTGGCTTGGTTTCAATCCAGGCATCTTTCCGTACGTGAAACGTAGGCGTACATGAAGGCTGAATTTGAAATCTGGAAAGTTTCAACTGGGACCCGCACAATTTGTGTAATAAGTTGCTAGATTTCACTTTCTAAAACCTCGTAAGTCTAGAGATCGAGATGTGTGGACAGATTAACGCGCTCATACGTACGTGCATGCTTGCAATCGGGCACGCGCACACACATATACACACATCCACACACACCATACCCTGCACAGTGTGCATTACTAGTACTGCAAGAAGGTGCGCAAACTGTGAACAGACATGGCTCATTGGAAGCGGTGGGAGAAAGGGGGGAGGGGGGAGAAGAGCCAAATGGACGTTTTACTGGTGGACTGTTAGATCGCGAAGCGTTATGCGTGTACGTTTTTCAAACTTGTTCACGATATTTTCGCATAAAATGATCAATGTTTCGGCATAACTTGGGTAGCTCGGGGAAATTGCCGGCTACATCACTAGAACGATGATGCGGCGTAGTGGGAAAAAATTGGATGATCAGGGCACCACGACTTCAGTATATTTTGCAGGCGTTCATGAATGATCGCTACGCAGACTGTATTGGAATGTTACACAGGGCGCTGAATGAAATCCAGGATGAATCTGTACGACGCCGTCTTCGTGTTAACATTGCGCTGTGCGAAGCGAAACAACGGGGCAAACTGTACAGTGGGAATAATTGTTACCGCTCAGCATTGTTAAAGGAGTTCCCTCAGGTGCTCTGCTCCTCTTTCTTTTGGGAAACTCATTGCTGGTAAATACCTCTATCCTGTTGAAGGCTGTTTGATTTGAATCCGCAAATAAGTGAACTAATCTTCTGCAATTCGTTCTGTTGATAAATTGGTACTGGCACGCTAATGAGTGAAAAAGATTTGAATATACTTTTTTAACTAAATCATATTGAAAACAGCACTAGCGCAGCCTTTCAAGTGACAGGAGGTTTTGGAATTTTCAAAAACACGGCGGGCAACCGCTCAAGTCTTTTTACTCCATTTCTGTTTGTTTCGAGGGGA